ATATATATATATATATATATATATATATATATATATATATATATATATATATATATATATATATGCACGGATATCCGTGCAGAATATTGAAAAAACAAAGATACAGCTATGCATGCAGCAGCGCATGCAGCCCCGTTGTTAAGAAGAGAAATACCTGTCGCTTTCTATAGGCCTCTTGCTTCATCTGTTTGTTGGTCATGGGGGCTGCTGCTTCATCCTCTGAGCCTGACGCAGGCTCAGCAGCAGCAGCAGCAGCAGCAGCAGCTGCAGCTGCAGCTGCTGCTGCCGCTGCAGCCTCCCCTTCTTTCCGTCTCTGCTCGAGACGCTGCTCTCTCTCCTCCTTCTTCTTCTGGGCAGCTTGCAGGGCTGTGGAGGGGACCGCGGGGCCCCCGGGGGCCCCTGGGGCCCCGGGGGCCCCCCGGGCCCCACCGGCGCTGTTGGGGGCCCCCCGCATGAGGTCCTCCATAGCCGAGCGGTCTGTCCGCCGTCTGCGGCCTTCAGCAGCACGAGGATGCGACCTGAAGAGCGTCAAAAGTAGCAAACAGCAAGCGAAAGAAGAAAAGAGAAATTTGTGTTTATAAGAGGATAAAGAATCAGAAACAAGAATACTAAGTACTGCTGGACTTATGCAACAATATCTTAGGGTTTAGGGTTTAGGGTTTAGGGTTTAGGGTTACCTTTCTGCACGCCATGGTAGTGCTCGATTCCTTATTAAGAGGAAAGCCCCCGCAGAGAGAAGGCAAAGCAATACTACTATGAGGGCTGTTGGGCTTATGTTGTTTGTATTTATATTATCTTCGTTTGATGGGGTCTGCTGCTGCTTTTGCTTGGAAGCAGAAGCAAAAGAAGAGCTGCTGCAGCAGGAAAGCAGAGCCGCAGCGAAACCCCAATTCAACTTGTGCTGAAAACGCCGCCGATNGAGCTGCTGCAGCAGGAAAGCAGAGCCGCAGCGAAACCCCAATTCAACTTGTGCTGAAAACGCCGCCGATGAGGGCACACAGCGGCGCCCTGGTATTTCTTCATGTTGATAGAGGATAAAGGATATATTGTATTCAAATTTATTTGTATTATGTGGTCTCAATCCATAAGAAACCTATTTCTGAACTGCCATTCGGCCACCAAGGAAAATTCAGAATGCAGCCGCTCAGGTGACACAGGGAAGATGAAGAGTCGTCATTATAGATATTACATGAAGTTATACACTCGGAAAATACAATTTATTTATTGAGTATTAGAGCAGAGGCATGCGTTAGCGAGTACAATACAAAATGCTGCAAAGGGTCCATGCGGTGTCTTGTTGAAATACGAAAATTCAAAAGAGAGAGAAAAAGCTTTCCGAGCTTTTTTCTTCTGGAATTCATGAATAAATAAGTGTAAAACTCAAATTTTCATGATTTAAAATGAATTTATTTCATGAATACATGCCGATATGCTGCCGCCGCGGGTCACGCGGTACGAGCTCAACAAGACCCATGGCGACGGAAAGCTGCTGCATGCAGGGCTCCATCATTCGCTGAAGTTTCCAGAGTTGTTTTCATGGAAATATTCAGCTCAAAACCTTCAAGTTGATGCGTTGATCGCTGGAATTTCTCCGAGTTTCCCCCACACAGCGTCGTAAGCTGCATATACTGAACCGCAGTCACCACTGGCTGGAAACCTGCAACTTGACGCTGCACGGATCAGCCTAAACAACTCGGTAAACATCTTCAGTTTACCTCNGCTGGAAACCTGCAACTTGACGCTGCACGGATCAGCCTAAACAACTCGGTAAACATCTTCAGTTTACCTCGCTGCATATATTCATTTCTTCTAGCGAGAAGAAGGTTTCCTTATACGCCCTGCCTCCCCCCACAATACTCACTCATACTCATGCAGATGTTCTCTATGGCGATGGAAACCCGCCAGCAGGGGGGTCAAACCACCACCACCTCGCGATCCGTTCGGCCTTCTCAGGTGTATATACAGCTGCATTAGAGCTGTAAATGGCATATGGTGAGTTCTTTCTACCTTTGAGTTTCGTCTTTTCGCCGCCGCTGCGGGCGGCTGCAACCCCAAACAAAGCGAGGATACGTGGGCTTGGCAATGGCTCGTCTTCAGCTGCTCCTAAAGGGGGCATCGGGGCTTCCTCTGCATGCAAACAGCAGCAAACGGAATACTAGCTGCGATGCTCTATGCTTGTTGGGGGCCTCCTCGCGCTGCAGTTTCAGTGCTGGTTCCCGCCGCTCTTTTTGCTGCTTGTTGAACGCAGCAGCAGCAGGCAGCAGCTCCATCAAGCATGCATGCGTACAAAGCAGCAGCTCTGCTATCAGCAGCAGGAGGCCTCCTGCTGCTGCTTTCTGCTGCAGTCGACACCTCTCAAGCTTTGTAGGGGCTTCGGTTCCTCCGTGGGTATTTCCAGCTGCTGCTGCAACAGCATTGGGA